GTTCAATTGATCGTTCAACCAAATTAACATAATTAATTGAAACAAATTATAATTTATATTATAAAAATATACTTAGGGTTCTATATTCTATTTAATATTTTATACTATTTTATTGTTGTAAGACCTAAAATATATAAATAACAAAAATAATATATTCGTTTTATATTTTGATAGTTTCTGTTATTTTAAAAAATACATATATATTGTCTAAAAAAAATAATACATATATATATATAAAGCTAACATCAAATCGAACTAACAACAAAATTTAAAAGTGTAAGCAAATAAGCCAAACAAAATATAATATTCGGACTCAAAAAAACTTAGTTGGTCAGTTTTGGTCACTATAGTGCAACTTGACAGTCACTATTGTGCAACCAAACTAGCACTAATGTGCACTCGAAGTGTAGTTATTGTTTCGTTGATATTATTGTGTTAATATTTTTATTGTGTAATTTATAAAAATATATATTTATTGTGTTAATATTTTTATTTAATAATTTATATTTTATTATTTTCTACAAAATACATTATGTATATATATAAAAAAAATAATATATTTTTATAGTTTAGTTGAATGTGTTATTTTGGTTATTTTAAAAAATATCCAAAATTTTAAAAATAAAATCCAGACATAATATAGCATTAGTGTACTTGTTAATTTTTTCATGCGGGTCATTTCGATATGATAATGTGCATTGTCAAAATTATTAACGTGCAATTAGTGTATCAATAAAGTGCAATTTGCAATACATGTCATTTTTAATATGCATAATAGTAAATTACATATAATTTTTTTAAGTATTGTGCATTTAACTTTTCATTAATATGCATTCATTAAATTTTTGTGTAAAAGTAAAACATATAGTTCACATGAAATAAAAAGAAAAACAATAAAAATTTCAAAAATTACAAATAGGTCCCTAAACATTACCTAATTTTCAAAAATTAAATTGAACCCTAAATCCCCAAATTGAACTCTAATTGAACCTAATTTTGCATCTCAATTTCCCTTTTGCAGGAACTCCCACCGCCCCTGCTCTTCTGTCCCTCTCGCCGGCGAGCTTTGATATCCGGGCCGATCTCGACCGCGAAGCCGCCGTGAGGAGGCCGTCCGACGACGCCAGTGTGGTCACAACCGGCCGCCAAATGCAGGGCATTGTGCGGTCGCTCCAGTCGGGCTCGCCGGCAAGCTATGGCCTCCGGTCGACCGCGACCGCGACTGGTGTGGACCCTGCAAACCACCATGTTCCGGCGGCATTGGATGCGTCGGCAGCCTACTTCAACACTATTTCATCGATCGACGCCATGAACGACCATGAGCTTGCTGGCCGTGAATTGTTCTCAGTCTCGCACCGACGGCGACGGATGTGGCGTTGACTATGGTTTCTGCGACGGTGGTGGTTATGTCCGCGGCGGCAACAACATCGGAAAAAATCGGAGCCGCGACGGTGGTGGTTATGTCGGCTGAGGAGCGGTGGAGGCTTCTGAAAAACTTCTGGCGTGGTCGTGTGTGTGGCTGTGTGTCTGTGCGTGTGTGTGTGTGGTGTGTGCGAGGAGGTCGGTGGAGGCGGACGGCGGGCCACTGGCGGCCGGCGGTGGCCGTGATTTCCCGGCGTGACTGTGACGGGTGTTTTGTGTGTGTGTGGTGTGTGTATAGTGTGTGTGAGTGTGTGAGAGAGAGTCTGGTGTGGGGTGGGGTGGGGGTGGGTTGACCGGTTGAATTCATTGGTTGGAATAGTTGGCGTGAATATGTAATGGGCCAATGGGGTCCACCTTTAGAGAATTACCTCATTACCCTTAATAAATGTATAATTTTGATTTTTTTAAACCATTAGATCATCCGATCTAATGGCTACGATTTATTCTCATTTCTTTCACTAAGCACCATTCTCATGTGAACTCAACCCTATATATATATATATATATATCAAATATGTACATGATTTATGGGGTCAGGTATATATGTAAATATAAATAAAGATATCTGGTGCTAATAATTATGTGTGGTGCCGTGAGTACTATATAGTATACCTAAATAAAAGTGGTGTGCTTATATATACACCTATGCTATAAGATTTTATATGTATGGGTTGATATAAAATTTTAAAGTGGTGTGCTGTGAAGAACCAATTGATTGAAGCTTTAGGAATTCGAACTTGTCCCAACGTTAGATAATTAAGAAAAGTGAGCTGCCGTTGCGATATAATTTATTATTAGACAATTTAGTCCCACATCGATTAGTAAATTAACCGATTTTGAACCTTATAAATAAAGGCCGTGAAAGCCATGTTTTCTTAAGATACATTGTACATGGTAAAGATCGAACGGGTGAAAATTAAATTAGATAAATTCTATTTGGGTTTGTAATCGGAGAAACCACGAGAAGACCGAACAGATGTACGAACCGAGCGCGATACAGGTAGCGTGACCGAGCGACACCTATCATTACTAGAATAAAGTCCGTACGATACGCATTAAATGCGTATGGATTCGGTAATCCTGGATCTAATGGCGCTTAACAAAGGAGGATACGTGTCGCAACCCTGACGAGTTTGCTTTATTGAGATGGTGTTTTATAGTACATTAGCATTAAATGCGGTGTGACTAAATATCTATATGATATCTTGTAAAATAAAAAGGGAAAAGAAAACCTGAAATTGACATGTAACATGTCCTCACACTTACTATATAAGGAGCAAGGGGCAACCACTAGTAGAAAAAACATTTTTCACTTCGGCAGTTTGACAAAACCGATGTAAAAAACACTTTTCACATCAGATGTTGACATCGGTTTTGCCGAAACCGATGTCAAAAATATAAAATTTCATTTTGGAACATCGGTTCTTAGACAACCGATGTGAACGAGTAGCTGGGCGACAGTTATTACATCAGTTTTATTCGGAACTGATGTAAAAAAAATTAATTTCAAGCATCGGTTAAAATAACCGATGTAAATACGGCCCAAAAAAAAAAATTAATGTTCTAGCAACATCGGTTCTTAGACAACCGATGTGAACGAGTAGCTGGGCGACACTTTTTACATCGGTTTTATGCGGAACCGATGTAAAAAAATTAATTTCAAGCATTGGTTAAATTAACCGGTGTGAATACGGCCCAAAAAAAAAAATTAATGTTCTAGCATCGGTTAAATAAACCGATGTGAATTTGGCCCAAAAAATGACGGGCTAAATTAATGTGCATCAGTTTAGAAAAACCGATGTGAGGACGTCCAAATTTGAGGTGCGCGCGAAACTGGCAAACATAAATCTTAAGCCCAAGTCGCCGTCCATCTTCTGAAAAACGATTAAACACAAAAACCCTCCGCCAATTTCACCTTAAAGTTCGTCGCTCTCAAACCCTCCACCGTTGCTCTCAAAACCCTTCACCGTCGCCCTTCTGCTCTCACCGACAGCAACGACGCGGCTGAGACTAGCCGCAGACCTGACTATTATCGAGAAACAAAGAGAGCAGAAGCTCTTTCACAGTTTGTTGCTTTCCCAACCTTAAAGCTCCTTCGTCCCCTCTCATATTTTCCCTATCCGCGTCGATTGAGAATCTCGTCTTGCTAAATCGATTTAACAACCATTCGTACTAGTGCGGTAAAATACCGAAGTAACGGGCTAGAGCCTCCCAATCCCGCTCACGAAGGTGCAACCACCTGTTGAAGCTGACCTGGACGAGGTGGCCAGCAAGGCGAGTGTATTTCCCACACCCTACTTTCTTTAAAATCCGAAGCACGCAATCCCAAGCAAGCACATTCTCGTTCGCGGGTATTTTGTATAGGCGAGGTTCCCAAGCGGTAAAGACCATACAGGTCAGGAGTATCGCTGTCGAACAAAGGAGTAGTCGAGCGACCAACGGGCTTCCGGCAAATACCGAGCAGAACATCCGAGGTGTGCTGGTAACAGGCTGCATCAAGTCGCGCTATTTGAGAGCACCGACCCCTTTTCCTTCCTTTTTTATTTATTAGCCGAGAAAGGTACAACGCCTGAACCTTTTTGCATTTTGTTTTTGCATTCAAAATGGCTGAGTAATGTTCTTTTGTATGCTTTAGTTTCGTTTTTATGGGATTTTTTTTTCAGCAGGCTTGAGTTTAAGAGTTAAGGCTAAAGAGAGCAATTTATGATTTGTTTTGGTTGTGTTGTTTATATTGCTGAAACTGAGTAGTTATCAGGGTATTATTTTCAGTTCTGAGGATGATTATTTGTTGCTTTGAGTTTAGGAAAAGAGTAGAGGAAAAGAGAGATATTGGTTGTTGTTTTAGGCCTGAAGTTGAAGAGATAAATGAATTGGTTCTTGTGTTATTTGACTGAGTAGGTTGCCTTGTTTTGCTGCACATTATTATATGTTATACATGTTGAAAGTTAGGATATGCCAGAGTTTTAATTTCAGTTGTTAAGTGTTAAGTTGTGTGGCTTAATGTTTGAGGAAAAAGGAAAAAAAATTGTTGGATAAAATTGTTGGATAAATTTTTCAGTTTTTAATTTAGTTTCTTAATTATTGTCATTTCCTTTAGCTGAGGTAGTGTTATTTTCTAGATTTTATGATCATTCTATTTCTTGATGATATACTTTTTGTTCTTCTCTATTTGTATTTGTTTGTGAGTGAGTGTGATAAAAGCCTCTCATTTTGGCTTTCTGTTTCTTGAACTAGAAAGATGGCACCTTCTTTTGTCATTTCTGATCACATGATCTTTTAATCTAATTAGCCATTGAATTTATTAGCTTAACTAACTTAATTCATAAAATTGTGAATAGACACTTGGTTAATTAAATATCCTTTATGTTTGTTTTATCATTCTTTACTTCCCTTTGGCTTCTTTCACTTTCCTTTATATATGTTTCTCAATAATGATACAAAACTTTTTATCCCTTTTAACTATTGATAAAAAATTTACAATCGACTAGGATTGTAGTAGGCAGTTCCATATCAGTAGGGTCGAAATATAAATGTCACTATTAATTACTCAGAAATAATAAAAGTTAAAACAATCACGAATGCTAATTGTTGTGAAGCTGCTGTTTAAGGTCGTGCATGCAGGCAAGGTTACTAATATAATGTCTCTTACTCTGCTTGCATGAGTGCCTATTTGACTTTACATTGATGCTAATTTATCTTGTGTTCCATGTCTTGTTTGTTTGTAGATAAAAAATGGGGCGACCTTTGTCATGTTGGATAAAACTTCAAAACCTAGGGATGTGATTCCTGCTTTGTTAATACAAGGTATTATTATTGTTGTTGTTGTTAATATCTTCTTCTTCTTCTTCTTCTTCTTCTTCTTCTTCTTCTTCTTCTTCTTATTATTATTATTATTATTATTATTATTATTATTTTGCAACTTGATAAATTGAAAGATAGTAATTGCAATTATATTTTTCATACTAGATGATGGTGGTGGTATGGATCCTGAAGCAATGCGGTGTTGCCTTAGTTTTGGGTCTTCTTCTTCTTCTTCTTCTTCTTCTTCTTCTTCTTCTTCTTCTTCTTCTTCTTCTTCTTCTTCTTCTTATTGTTATTATTATTTTGCAACTTGATAAATTGAAAGATAGTAATTGCAATTATTATTTTTCATACTAGATGATGGTGGTGGTATGGATCCTGAAGCAATGCGGTGTTGCCTTAGTTTTGGGTTTTCAGATAAGAAGTCGAAAGATGCTATCGGACAGTGTGAGTATGAAAATGATTTTTTCTTTATCTTTTTCATCACGAATCATGTGATGTTGACTGATAGAGCATTTTTAGATGGAAATGGGTTCAAGACCAGCACTATGAGACTTGGGGCTGATGTTATTGTCTTCAGCCGTTGCAAAAGTTCCAGGTTTCTTTGACTTCTGCATTCGTATATATTTTATATGTTCTGCCCCTCTCTTGGTCCTGAATTCATTGTTGCTTTGAGTTTGTTGTGTTAAATATGCGAGGATGTAGGAAACAGCCTCTACAATGTCACTGTTTTGTAATTTTTTTTTTTTCCGACCGAAATGTAATAAACGAACGTATAAACAAAAGATGAGATTGTTATTGCATTTTATTTGGGAATGCTTGGTGATTTGTGTTCACTTCTCCATATTCCTCTTCCTCGAAGTCCATTGATGGATATGTTCTTGGAAGCATCTCGGCGAGTCACATTTGAGATAAGCATTTGACAGTTAGGAAAAATGCACGGAACTGCGGTGACCATGTTCTGTTCTTTTGCATCTTAGGTCGAGATGTTTTTGTTTTTTTGACATTACAAAAATCGTATGATCATTTTTTCCTGCACGTCTTATGTTGAGAATGCATAGGTCGAAATTTATTTGCTCTATTGACATGATAAAAATTTATATTACCGTGTTTAGATCGTCCTTGTGTTTTGACTTTTATCGTAATTATCTATTTCTATTTCTTTAACCAGGAGATTGACCCAAAGTGTTGGTCTGCTATCTTATACTTTTTTAATGCAAACAAGACAAGATAGAATAGTTGTTCCAATGGTGAGCTTCTTTCTCTTNTTGTAATTTAATTTAATCCCCACTAGAGTTTGGTTATTTTATTGTTCCCATGGACAGTTGCTGCCTTTTTGGGTTCTATCCACCTTTCTAAGGATGATTATGAACGCAGTTTTTCCATATTATAATGTTTTAATTTCTCCGGACATACCTAAATGATCAAATTTCTTCCTCTTCTTTCAGGTTGATTATGTGTTTGACATTGGTAGTAGCACATGGAAAACATTACACAGTGAAGAACAACTTAAGAATAATCTTTCTATCTTGTTGAAGTGGTCTCCATTCACCACAGAAGCCGAACTTCTGAAGCATGTGAGTATAGCTTTCACATTTTTTATAACTTATTTGCATAGCTCTTTTGAGTTTTTGGCTTCTGCATTTCTCTTTTCAGGAGAATTCATTTTCCATTTTTGCCGTATTATCACCTTGCGAATTTAATTCTCGCATTATTCTTGTGTTGCAGTGTGATGACATAGGCCCCCATGGTACCAAGATAATTGTTTACAATTTATGGCAAAACGATGAAGGAAAAATGGAAATTGATTTTGAGTCAGATAAGGAGGTTTGTGTTGGTTTCTAATTTTCTGCGTTGTTGGATTTACTGCAAAAATTACCCCCCCATAAAAAAAAAAA